CTGCCTCTGCCTCACCAAAATGAAATGTTACGGGCCGCCACTGGAAATAGGGTAAAAGTAGACAGTTATCGGAGACTTTATAGTTATTGGACAATTAACATTAATACTCTGAAAACAAGAGTTCTATAAATAGTTACCTTAAAGTCAAATCATTAGATGACGCTGTATACAATTATAAATATCTCAGTCGGTAATAATATAGAACTACTTTATTTTGGGTCCAATATAGGACAAAAAAAGTTCGCACGTTCGTTGGTAAGATTTTTGTTTTTTGCTAAGAGCAGGGCTGTTCTTAATTCAATTTTCAAGAAATACATTTCGATTTATAACCTTTATAATTGTGTTTATAAAATGTAAAAATTTGACATTTGATTGTGACACACAGATTCCCCTATTGTTTCATAGATGGCGCTCTATCTAAATTTTTTATTTAAATAATTTTAAGATACCTAATAATAAGTATTTTTCTTAGAAAAAGTATAGTATGCACCTCGTTTATAAACTTTTCTATACACTGATTAATTTAAGCAAGCTCGCTTGTGCCTAAATTAAATTCGTGTATAAAATGGCGTTTATCAAACTTGATACATAAAATACTATTTTTGGTTTTTGGTTATTTAAAATTGTTACAGGTACGCATTGTTTTTGTTACTAAAATATTTCATAAAATCAATTCGTCAACAAATTGTTTATAACAACCTAACAAATTGACGCCTTTAAATTTTGAACAATGACAGCTGTCATTACAGCTGTCTGTACAGATTACGTGGTAACCATAGATACCCTTAACTCACCCGTTACAGGTATCTTTATATAAAATTTTATAAATTGTTAAATATCTCTGAAATTATTAACTTTATGTATAGGGAATAGTAACATTAATCGAAAGGATTTTTAATTTACATTTAAAATAAAAAAGTTATTATTCTTTCAAAATAGCCTAATTTGTCCTGTTTTTTTTTAATATTTTAGAAAAATAGACATAAAGGGAAATGCTTTTAATATTGTTAATCGGTATTTACTGCATTTATAAAAAATATGTTTGAATAAATATCTGAATGTATCCGAGTAAAGAAGAAATAGGAACGGAACGAAAAATGCAATGAATGCAGGATATTGGACACTTTCCAGGTCTCCACGGCCATCTTTGAACTTTTTTGCCAACTGACCTGATCAAAGAAGGCTAGAGGTTTTAAAGACTACTCCAGTATTAGATCTTATTTGCAACGGTGAAAGGTCAAGATGCAATATACATAAATATCATGGAAATCCTATCATAGGTTTCTTTATTTATTTAGCGTGTAACAACTTTTCTTATTATAATAATTTTAAGCCTATAGATATTATGGTGCTTCTTATTTGACTGATGTCGAAATTTTAATCGTGCCGCCACCTCATTTATTTTTAAAAAATATAAAAAAAAATGGATGCCAAATTTGAATGTCCTAACTTATAAGTTAGGACATTCAATAGAAGGAAATATATTTCCTTCTATTGCCTGTAACAACGAGAAGTTTTCCAGATAGAGGAGTTTTGCCTTTAATGTATTAATTTTTTTAAATTACTATTAATCTACACTGAAAAAATGTATCCTTAGCAGTTACCGAAAAATTGTTAAATAAGTATAGATTGTTACGGTTGAAATAGGTGACAGCAAATGTTTGTGGTATTTATTACCACAACAAAAATGTTTTTAAGTCCTAGTAATGTTAAATGAAATGTCGTGTTACATATTAACCATTAATAGCTTCTTAAGCAGTACTACAACGTTGTGGTATCAAATAGAATTACCGAATTCTGATAGTAACTACTGCATTATAGTAAGTCTGAACATTCTTTAGTCGTTTGAAATATGCTTTAAGTGAGATATATTTAATAACAACGAAATGCCATTAAAAAAAGTAATATTTATTATTTATTAACTTATCAGGGTAATATTTAGTACTTGTATAACCAGTATGTACTAATGTTAAGGTATTTAACCAATAATTTTCTTATCTGGTAAGCAGTACTACTTCCAAACGTAAAGTGACCAGATTCTGTCAAAAAATAGGGGGACATTTTGTGTAAATTAACCTTAATTACAAAAATGATACAATTAACAATAATACAGTAACGTCAAATTTTCAATTTGCACTGTATCATTGTGTTAATTTTGTAATTAAGGTAAATTCATACAAAATGTCCCCCTATTTTTAAACAGAATCTGGTCACTTTATCCTAACGGAATAAATACTGAATTAAAAAGTTATCGATTATCGTTTTTTGGTGTTATGTAAAAGTTTGCAGTAAAGGTTATAGGATAAAAAAACATGTTTTTCAAAAATTTTTATTAAAAAAATATATATAAAATTCTTACAATAAAATAAATGATATCGCCTCCTTAACTTTTATGATAAACAAAAAACCTAAACAAACATTAATACAATATATATACTAAATATGAGAAGGTGTAACAATAAAACATTTAATAAAAATATAATAAATAATTTACTTATTTGTTAAATTTTTCTTAATATTAATTTAATATTATTAAACAAGTGTTTGTCATTCCTAAAAGGGTTAGCTATAAGTTTTCAAACTCATAGCGTCATTGTATAGATATTACCACAGAACACTTGTTCTGTGGATATTACTAATATATTAAAAAATAACGTCAAAACTCTTTAAAACAAATATTGAACATTGAATCTTATAAAAATAATACCTGTAACTTACATACTGTAAGTAAGAAATACCCAAATAGGTTTTTTACCTAAACGCATAGAAAAGAATAGTTTTTCTATGGTAAAAGGCAAAAATGTTTATCTCGTCACTACGCAAAGGCTGCAAGCTAATATAAAACTAAAGGTGATACTGATCAATTTATTAAATAGAATGAAGTACCCCTTTACAAGCAAAAGCAAAAAGCGTAATATTAGAATGAAGTAAATTAAAGTTATGTTAGGTAGATATTCTTAATAATACATAAATAATTAAGTATTTACTTACCCTTAAAAACAGAAATTGAATCTTGTAACTTCCAATTTATTAGCAAATCGTCCATTGAGGCGTCTTTATGCAAGCTTACTAACAACAATGGTGATTGTGCGCGATGAACAGTATAGATAAGCTTTGTTTTAGTATTACCAACTTCAAAATTTGTAAGATATCATAGAACGTTGTAGTAATACTTACCACAAATGTTTAGTGCCGATGAAAGAATTCATATTTGGAAGAGTTACTTGTTACTTGATTTACTTATAATATCTGTCTGAGTTGTTTATAAATTAACGATGTGGTATTAGTTTGGCAGCATTTTGTAATACTTTTAAATAGGATCTGTTTTAGTTAAGCCTACTATAACTACTGTTACATATTTGACATTTTTCCTGTTGTTATATATTAAGGGTTTTAGGTCGAAATTAATACTAAAGCATGTATTATTTCATACTAATTTAGGCTACATTTTTGTTGCAGTATTACTAGATAAATGCTTAGTTTTTCTTTATGCATCGTAAATATATATTAAACATTTTGCCTTTTTATTTTCTACTGAACCTATACTACAATTACGTAGTAGTAAAAATTTTTAAATAAAAATTTTCAGTGTATGAAAAAGTATAATTTTTTGAGAAAATATAGAGGATATTAGTTACCTTAAAATAAAAAAAAAGAAATCATGTATTTGTATCCTAAGGTCTTTTTTACTTCGCTCGCAATAATTTTATAAAATCATTAATATAACTAATGAACAATTCTAATTTTTTTTTTAAATCAAGTGAAAATATGGTACTTTTAAACAAAATTAAAAGAATTCATGTATGTCCATAGTAAGGTGTTTTTTATTTCATTCAATTATTACTATTATTGTTATTTTATTGAAAATGGCATAAAAAACAAAATATCCGTGATAATTTGCATTTAATGCATAATTAGTATATTTTGAAACGTAATTTTGTACTTTTCTAATGTTGGTGCTGCCTAAATTTCTTTTAGGCCATCTAAAATTATTTGTTTTATAAAACAAATAATTTAAGATTACATAAAAGATATTAAGGGAGCACCAACATTAGAAAAGTACAAAATTACAATTATGTAAATAATAAAATTGATGTTTAGATTGTTTTCGAACAATTTATTTCTTAAAAAAGTTACATAGTTAAAATGGCACAAAATAAACAAAATAAAATAAATAAAAATAAAGCATTTCCCTACACAAAAAGACTGTTGTAACCAATTTTTAAAATACCAAAAACCTAATTATCTGGGTTTTATTTTGTTATTTTTTCCATTTTAACTGTTACTTTAATTAAAAATAAATTGTTCGAAAACAATCTAAAAATCAATTTCATTATTTACATGAAACAAATAATTTTAGATTGCCTAAAAGAAATTTAGGTAGCACCAACATTAGAAAAGTACAAAATTGCGTTTCAAAACACACGAATTATGCATTAAATGCAAATTATTACTGATATTTTGTTTTTTATGCCATTTTCAACATTAATAGTAATTTTAAAAATTAATACATTAAAGGCAAAACTCCTCTATCTGGAAAACTTCTCGTTTTAACAGGCAATAGAAGGAAATAATTATAAATTATAATAATAAATTTGGCATACATTTTTTTATATTTTTTAAAAACAAATGAGGGGGCGGCACGATTAAAATTTCGACATCGGTTAAATAAGAACCACCCTAATGGATATAGAAAGACTATTTTTGTACGCAGTTTAAAAGTCAAATCATTATACACCGCCGTATAATAATGAAAATGCTTTGAAATTGCATTGAAAGAGTGGTTCCATCTATCGCATAGTTTTAAATCAGTGCAGATAACTAAAAATTATAGGTCACTGTAGAATACATTCATACACATAACATATAATATTACATATGTCAAACGTACAGTACAAAATTATTAAACGCTTAAATAAATAGGATTTGCACAATTAAGGCTCAAAAAAACCCTAATAATTTGTACTTCTACTTAAAAAGTCATTGGATTTATAACATACCTGTAGTGGAATCTGGTGGTTGTTGACGTCATAACGGTCCGGCAGTGGGGTCTGGACTCGAACCTCGGCGAGCACGTCGCGCGACCCGTCGCGCGACAGGCCTGGTCGCAGGTCGTCCCTGGAAAATACACGCGCGACACCATCTTTCCGCAGCGCGGACTTGTAGGTTTCAGTCGAGTTTACCGGGTATCTGCAAAAAAAACGAGCTTTTTACCTAATGCAAGTGTACTTTTACTACAGTTCTACACAATAAAAAGTACTAAGCATAAAAACCCACTCTCTAAAAATGAAATAGTCAAAATTCTACTATTTGAATTAGTACCGGCATTTTTTACTAATAAAATAGTCGTTTTCACTTTTAAATAGTTATTTTTTACTACGTAAATAAACTGCGCACCACTCAATGTGTCGCGACCAAAAAGTTCGTTCTTTTTCAAATCGATATAACTTTTTTGTTTCTTGAACGATTTAATTTTGGTTTGTAATGTCTGCTAGCCTCATCCTCTGGCAATTTATGCTATAGATATGAAGATCACGGTTGGTCAAGTAAACTTCCTACAGGGTGATATGTTAAAGGGTGAAAAATTTCAATAACTTTATCCATGCCCCGTTTGTAAAAAAATAATTTTTTTTTCGTTTTTACTTTGAAATAATCAAGTATAATGTGTTACCTTGAAATGTTTTTCAAATTTTTCGAATTGGAATCTTAGCAACGAAAATATGATTTTTTTTCCAAAAGAGTACATTTAAGGCTTTTTTTTAGGCAATACACAGTCTTTTTAGGAACAAGAAGATAAGATGGTGAAAGATTGTTCCTTAAATAATTCTGAACAAGCGACAAGCAACAAACTTCCATTATTTTCAGAGGGCCTAAGCTAAAACCACTTTTTAAATGACATTTTTGTGAAAGTTTGCAAAAACTAAACCTAAACCGATATTTACTTTCGTAAAATGTTTTCTTTATAATTTTGACCTCCTGATTGTGATTCAGTTGTCAAATTTAAGTTTTAGATAAAACCAAAATCACTAAGAATCAAGATTCGAAAACAATTCCCGGATGTTAAATGTGTCAATAAAATCCGGTTGCTGGTTTTTACTGTTTTTTTAAATATCGTAAATGATTTAAGGGACCACCATATTGAGAAAATGAATTGGCCACCTTTGTCTCCGGATATAAATCCTATATGTGGAGCAGGATAAAATTGAAGATCAAAGAGAGGGAAGGAGGCATGGAAAATTTGGATGAATTGGTAAATGCTATTCAGGAAGAATGGGGTACCCCAGAAATTTCTAAGGAATTTGGTCGAGGGAATGCCCAGGAGGGTTAACGAATTATTACGGCTTAGGGGAGGGCCAACGAAATATTGAAAGGTATTATTGTTATTGGTTGTTACATTTTTCTGTTGAATGTTGAAGTTTTGATTATGATTATATCTACGCATACAATTTTCAAAAATGAACAAAAATATTTTTATTTAACTTTATTATAAATTAGGTAGGTACTTATCAATGATGTTATCACTACTGCGCAATATAAATGTAAGCTATGTAACATTATCCTAACCACTCAAACAAATTGCAGTAATTTCGCCCAAAAAATGAATTCCCAAATGGCATTTTCATAATAAATATGCAAGAAACTCGACAGCAATCGGATTTTATTAAGACATTTAACACCAGGGAATTGTTTTCGAATTTTGATTTTTAATGATTTTGGTTTTATCTGAATCTTAAACTTGACAACTGAATCACAATCAGGAGGTCAAAATTATAAAGAAAACATGTCACGAACGTAAATATCGATTCAGGTTTAGTTTTCGCAAATTTTCACCAAAATGTCATTTTGAAAAAGTGGTCTTTGCTTAGGCCCCTCTGAAAATAATGGAAGTTTGTTGCTTGTCGCTTGTTCAGAATTATTCAAGGGACAATCTTTTACCATCTTATTCTTAAAAAGTTCTTAAAAAGACTGAATATATTGCCTACCAAAAAGCCTTAAATGTACTCTTTTGGAAAAAAAATCATATTTTCGTTGCTAAGATTCCAATTCGAAAAATTTGAAAACGTTTCAAGGTAACACATAATACTTCATTATTTCAAAGTAAAAACGAAAAAAAAATTATTGTTTTACAAACGGGGCTTGGATGAAGTTATAGAAATTTTTCACCGTTTTACATATCACCCTATGCTTAATATCTATAGCATAAATTGCCAGAGGATGGGGTTAGCAGACATCACAGACCAAAATAAAATAGTTCAAGAAACAAAAAAGCTATGTCGTTTTGAAAAAGGACGAACTTTTTGGTCGCGACACATTGAGTGGTGCGCAGTTTAGTTTGACTAATTTAAGATTAGTCAACATCTTTGACTATTTCTGAGAGTTAAAAGTAACTAATTTCTTTAATCCTTTGCGGCCAACAACAAAGTATTATTTGATTTAAATGTATATACCTAAGCTCCATGCTTAAATGACCCATAAAAACAAATAAAGATGCAAAAAGTTTAGCTCAAAACAGCAACACAAATAATATATTTAACTTTAAAATATTATGAACAATATTTATTGACAAATAAAATTGATTTTTATAAGAGCGGCTGATGGCCGAATGGGTTATGACAACAGCTTGACAACAGCTTGACAGACCTGAGTTCAATCCCAGGCTGGGTCAAAACTTTTTTAAATTTAAATCTACTAAGTTGACTATTTCATTCAGTAGAATTTGACTAATTATTAGTGACTGTTTTTTCGCTATGACAATTAGTCAATTATAACTTAAAAATTAGTTATTTGTCGCTGCTTGAGGCGAGAGAATTGGAGCTTGGTCTTGCTCTAATTGGTGGTTTTAAATCACATGACTGAAGATGTGGTGGGTGGCAGTTTAAGTTGCAGTGTGTGTAAAGCGGGTTTGTTTGTTTTGATTCAGATTAAATTACTTAAAACTGTTGTCTGATCTTTTATAGTTTTTGTCTCCATTAGTAATAGTATGATATGTATCAAGTTTGATAAACGCCATTTTATACACGAATTTAATTCAGTCACGAGTAGCTTGCGAGCGAGTGCTTAAATTAAAGAGTGTATAGAAAAGTTTATAAACGAGGTGCATACTATACTTTTTCTACGAAAAATGCTTATTATTGTCTTAAAATGATTTAAATCAAAAATTTGTATAGAGCGCCATCTATGAAACAATAGGGGAATCTGTGTGTCACCGTCAAATGTCACATTTTTATATTTTATAAACACAGATTATAAAGGTTATAAATCGAAATGTATTTCTTGAAAATTGACAGTTTTTCACAGTGAAAGTAAAGAAAATGTTTTATGAGCACTTTACAGTGGAGTCCGTGCCCGAGTTTAAGTTATAGTTTACTGCCGGCGAAATTTAACACTGGCTTTGGTAAAATAAGTATTCGTAAATACGTGGTTTAACGTGTAGGAATTTTTAGTCAAAAACTTCTTAAGATAAGACCTATTTATTTTAAGTATTTAAGTTTTTTTGTTTAAAATATATTGTAGGTATATGAAATGTACAAACAAAAAAAAATGTACCGAATAACTTTGAGTATGGTGTTTCCTTTATTTGGTAGAGTTGCTTGAGGGCAAATTTAAAGTTTGTTTTGATGTTAAAAATAAAATTATTCGAGGGTGAAATTGTAAAGTTTATGGATTCAAATAAAGATGTAAAATACCAAATTATATACTAGGTTATACCTAATAGCATTAATTTACCACTTAATGGTCCATCGAAAAATATATTTTTTTTCCAAAACGCTCCCTAAGAGAGATACAGCCCTTCAGAGTTCAGTTTTAAAAAGTAGGCGCAATCCCAGTATAATATATTTGGGTGCAATTTTACATTAAAAAAAACTTGGTAAGTGTGATTGTTTTAATATATTTTTTATTTTACAAAACAGAATGCCTCTAATATGTTTAATATTATTGTTTTGTAATAATTGAAGATGAAGCTAAGTTTATAGTAATATTGTCTTGCGTTACCATGCTTGTAACATGTATACATGTTTAAATATAGAATTCGTAATAATAAACTAAGTGTTTCATAATTAGCTTTTATAGCAATGGAATCGTTATTAGACAAATGAGGAATTGCCAACCTAATTAATGTTTTTAAAGGTAGGTTTATTTAATTGTAATATTATTTTACCATAAATAAACTTTATTGTAGGACAAGATATCAATGAGAAAAAGCTTTGTGTTCAAATGAATTTTCTAATATAGTTTTTTTAAATAAATTTGTTATTTTATTAAACCTTTCGAGTTAGTTACATTTGCATACTTTTATATTTGGCTTAATTATTCAATATTTTAAACAAAACATTCTATTTTAAGTAAAAAAAATTTAATCATTATTTTAATTATTAAATTATTTTGTTTAACCTTTAAATTTATTAATCCAAGTAATTTTAAAGATTAAAACTGCTCCCATATTTATTTCACTACTAATTGTGCATTAAATCAATATTTTTAATAATTTGATTAAATATAACGATAATATATATTATTTTAATTATCCGTGTATTCATTTGAATATTTTTAGTCGTTTTTAGTGGTTGGACCAAAATAAATTTTGTAATTTTAATTTGTTAAAACAACATTTATATTTTAACATTTAAGTCATAATCTACAAACCTGTTTTTTTATTTAACACCTAAAATTGGGCAGTTGAATTTTGTTAAATAAGCCCTTAAAAAAAGAAAAAAATGGTCACCTGGGTCACAAATTTACTAATATATTAAAAAAACTTATATAAAAATGCTTAATTATTTTAAAAATATATTTTTTTGCTTCTTAATAATAAGTTTAATTTATTATTTATAAAAATTTTGAGTACAAAACTAAGTAAAAGCAAAAACTATGTTCTATTTCTCAACTTTTTTGCATACATAAGTATTTTTAATATATTTTTTGTAATTAAAAGATGTCCATTAAAAAAAGTGAGTTTAAGAAATTTTCTTTTAATGCGTATTAAAAACGTTTTTTCTTGATTTTTTATCTGGACCCAGCTTGTGCAATTTAACGAGCAATAAATTAATAAAAAGTTTTAGTTATTAGTAATATTAATAAAATAATAATAAAAAGTCAATATAAACATTGTTTCGTTGAACTACCAAACATTTTTTTCCAGCTTCTGTGAAGCAAAATACATTGACTAGGAAAATTACTATTAAAAACATTATTTTAAATTGGCTACGTACTGTACGAAAAAAAATATTTTTAAAATTTCAATAAGTTTGTTATTATTTTAAAAATATATTATAATTTATTTCTTTGGAATTGTTCCCTGGGTCACACAATATGTGATCCAGGAGAAGTTTGACCCAGGGGGGAAATGTATGTTTTTAGAACATATCAAACAAAGTCCTTTACTACTTTTTATTACTGTGACACAGGAGAATGCACAGTTTTGCCACGCTGCACAGTTTCAATTCTCACAAATATCGGCAAAACCTCAAAAATTGACATTTTTTTTCAGGTAAGTTATATGGGTAGTTAATACCTGCCTTCATCCTGTATTGAAAAAAAATTATCAGTTTAAACTTGACACTTTCAGTGTTAAAAACTTTTGTTTGGTGTATCCGATTGTTATGCGGTTTGATGAAGGGTGATCTTCAAGGTATGTAAAATTCAGATATGTATTTGTTTTTCGTAGATTTTGCTTGTGCAACGGGTTATTATAACCGACAAGATCGGTCTGTTAAAATCGCAAACTTTGAATCGAGCTTTTAGAACAATGGAGCTACAAAAATTGTAATGAATTGTAAGGCATCAGTTCAAGATCCGTTGAATAGCTTAGAGTTTTGTCTATCAAGCCATCAATAAATTATCTGCCCCAACTCGCCCCCGGCTCTTTAAAACTACATGTTCTTGGGCGCTCAGGCACGGTTGTGGTAAAAAACCTCGCGATTTTAAGACTATGTCGCGCAGTATCTGTGGTTTTGCTTTACAAAATATAATTTTTTTTTTATTTCTGGGTTGTGTTCATGACGTTTACTCGATTCACTCGGATTTAACTCAAAACGTGTATTACAACAGCGGTGTCTAGACTTTCACTTGCGTAAACCGTTCGTGACTACTAAGATATTTAACAATGATTTTACATATTTAACCCACCTCTTGTAGGTGCGTTAAAACAACTCCGCATGCGCGTTGTAGTGTGTTAATGTCAAATTTGAATGGTGGTTATTTGTGTTGGCAATTTTTTTAGCGAATCCAGTGACGGAGATTGTTGTAGGTATTAAATAATATTAAATAAATGTAATTATAATAAACTTAATTAAGCTATTTTATAAAAAAATCTTTTATTTGAGTATAAACACGTCAAGTGGACCCCCCATTTTCCACTTGATCATCGAATTTGAATGTGAGTATTTTTTCATAAAGTAGTCACCATGAACAAATAATCCCCCGCTCAGTTTTTTAAAATTTTAATTTAATTTAATTTTTTTTTAATTGAAAATTTTTATTACTTTTAGGTAAAAAATTAATATTGAAAAAACTATTGGTGATTTTTTAATGAAATTTTCAGGAGTTATAGTTCAATACTTGTACTTTAAGAAAATATGTATGAATTTGAATTATTTTTTTTTGCATATTGTTAATTCACTTTTAAGTTAACAAATGAAAATTTTAATGACTTCTACCTCAAAAAATGAAAAAAATTTTGTTCAGTATTTTGCAATAAACATTCAAGTAACGAAATCCGCAAAAAAATTTGACTGATCGCGATTAGATTAAGCAAAAAAATTTTTTTATGACGGGCGGTCAGCGCTGCCGGTATAGCGAGCGCGTCATTGACTTACCTTTAGATTTACTCTGTAATTATAAATAAAAAATAATACTTAATGTTTTAATTAAAAATATCGTTATTTTATGATTAATTTTATTTAAACAAATGACAGAGATAATAAATTATATATTTTTTTATAAATAAAAAATAGAGATAATAAATTCTAGCAGTATTCTGCTATTTATTTTCATTTATTGTTTTTAAAAAACTTAACGAATCATAACTATTTTAGTTTTTTTTTTAAATATATTGTTAATTTAATAAAAAAAAACAAAAATTTTTATCAGTTACCCAACGTTGGTTAAACTGGTTATAACCAATATCAGTAAATAAATATTTGTGACAATCTTGTCAAACGTCAAACGTCTTGACGTTTTATTTAATAACTTTGTATTAAATGGTTTTTATTGTTCTAAATTTAATTAGTTTCTTCCGAATTTGTTTAAAATTTTATTACTGTATTGAAGTTTATTGGTGTTCGTAATTTTGTTAATACTTAATATTTAATTAGTCATGAGCCGCGTAAATAAATGCTGCAAATAAATAATGAAATTGAAATTGATCCAAAAGAGCAATAAACTTCAATACAGTAATAAAATTTTAAACAAATTCGGAAGAAACTAATTAAATTTAGAACAATAAAAACGATTTAATACAAAGTTATTAAATAAAACGTCAAGACGTTTGACGTTTGACAAGATTGTTACAAAATATTTATTTACTGATATTGGTTATAACCAGTTTAACCAACGTTGGGTAACTGATAAAATTTTTTGTTTTTTTTTATTAAATTAACAATATATTTAAAAAAAACTAAAATAATTATGATTCATTAAGTTTTTTAAAAACAATAAATGAAAATAAATAGCAGAATACTGCTAGAATTTATTATCTCTATTTTTTATTTATAAAAAAATATATAATTTATTATCTCTGTCATTTGTTTAAATAAAATTAATCATAAAATAACGATATTTTTAATTAAAAGATTAAGTAATATTCCTTATTTATAATTACAGAGTAAATCTAAAGGTAAGTCAATGGCGCGCGGCAGCGCGCAATACCGGCAGCGCTGACCGCCCGTCATAAAAAAATTTTTTTTGCTTAATCTAATCGCGATCAGTCAAATTTTTTTGCGGATTTCGTTACTTGAATGTTTATTGTTTAATACTGAACAAAAAATTTTTCATTTTTTGAGGGAGAAGTCATTAAAATTTTTATTTGTTAACTTAAAAGTGAATTAACAATATGCAAAAAAAAAAAAAAATTCAAATTCATACATATTTTCTTAAAGTACAAGTATTGAACTATAACTCCTGAAAATTTCATTAAAAAATCACCAATAGTTTTTTCATTATTAATTTTTTAACTAAAAGTAGTAAAAATTTTCAATTAAAAAAAAATTGTTGTTAAAATTAAAATTTTAAAAAACTGAGCGGGGGATTATTTGTTCATGGTGACTACTTTATGAAAAAATACTCACATTCAAATTCGATGATCAAGTGGAAAATGGGGGGTCCACTTGACGTGTTTTTACTCATTTACATTTTAAAAAGAACCTCTTACGAGTTTTTAATTAATTTTGACAATTTTTTGATAAAAATGTCCGCCATTTGAGGTCCACCATTTTGAATTTTGGAATTCTGCTTCCAGATTCATTAGCGACCACAAAAACCCCTGTATGGTGATTTTCAATTTATTCCGTCAATTTTTTGACAAACATGTACGCCATTTTGGATCTACCATTTTGAATTTTGGAATTCTGATTCCAGATTCGTTATCAGCGACCCCAAAAACCGCTGTATGGTGATTTTCAATTTATTTCTTCAATTTTTTGACAAATATATCCGCCATTTTGGATCTACCATTTTGAATTTTGGAATTTTGATTCCAGATTCGTTATCAGCGGCCCCAAAAACTTCTTTATACGGATTTTCGGGAGAATCCGACTACTCCTTGATATTTTGCCGAAAATTTCGAGAATTAAAACACTGTGCGCTGGTATAAAAAATACAAAAAAAATGTTGTGGTTTCAAGATAGTTCAAAACACCATTTAGTACTAAACTTAGTTAAGAAATACATTGCCGCAAGGGGGCAACACCAAAAAATCTGCGTCCAATTTAAAAAGGTCATTTATAAAAGCTGTGACCCAGGAGACGTGACCTAGGGGACCAAAATTAATTGACAAACTTTAGGAGTTATTTTAACCACTTTTATTTTTTAATATTCTCACAAATGGACTAATAAAAAATGAGGATGTTATTTTACTCTAAGATGTTTTGAACGAACACGTTCAATTATGCGTTATTTTTACTTATTACTTATTTTTATTATATAATGATACGTTTTTATTTTCATGTGTAGTGCAATAAAACACTGTCAACTTAATGTGTTTTATAAAATAATTTTTACGATATTTTAGATACTATAAACAAAATGTTACCAAGAGGAAATGCGACGTATGCAAGTTTCTTGATGTGTTCAAAAGACCACACAAGAAATCGAGAACTGCGTCATATTTTTTCTTATATTAAAAAGGGCTGACATACTCAGTTTTCTCTGTAAGAGTGGCAGTCTGCTCTTGTTATTTTGAATCAGTTATTCATTAGCATTCAACCGAGTATCATCTCTGTATTAAAATAAATAGTACATCTAATTTTATTAAGTTGTGTTTATTGAACATCGTTCCTGTTGCACCAAAATCCAGTCAACCAAATTCGCATACGGAAAATGTTTTCATGGATTAGTTTTCAAGGAAACGTACTTAAGCTCAGTACATGTTTAAATAGCATTAATTAGTGAATATTATTGCAAGTGGGACAGCTACCTTTCTGTACTGTTGGGGAAAGTTTAATTTTTTTTATTGGATTGGATTTATTGCTAATATATAGTTGCTGAATGTTTTATTTATTTTAACATCTCAACTCAGCTGTTGTAAACAACTCTGCCAATATTATTTTCTTTTATAACACATTTTTAACAAAACTATCCATATTCAAACTACAACTAAAAGGTTGTTAAACTTTACGTAGACCGTCTAAAAGATTTTTTTTTTGGCAATTGCAATAGCGAAATAGTTGCGTACCTGTTGTGCGTGTTGATTCCGTCCCTGCAAGGACCCGGGTGACGGGGGCCGCAATTGGCCGACTGCACGGTGAAAACCGGACCCTGGCGTCTGCGGGGGTCACCTCGCGCTGCGGCCATCACATAACTCCACATTGCAGGGCATGGCACGTACCAGACGGCTTCTCCTCGATTCGCCTCCTGCAACAACAAACACACTCGATTACTTACTCCTTGCGCTCACTTGATCTTTCGGCTGATGCTCGAGCGATTTGCATCGATATTTGATTCTCTCGAAGAGGGTAGAAGATGGCTTAAGGGGGTTTTGTTAACCAACAGTTTAAAGTTTACAGACGCAGCATTTTTACTACAAGTTTTTTGAAGAAAATAAATAAAAAATAAAGAAAGTCCTTCTAGCGTATAACAATTTTTATTACCGTTGAACGTCGGGTTTTCAAAAAAAAAAATAATGGGACACCCTGTATATTTCTAAATATTTTTGCATGTGCGTGTGGGTGTGTGTGTGTGTGTCTGTGTGTATTTCATATAACAGTAGGTATATAGTTTGTGTAAAATTTTTTTTTAACCATGTATGGTTAAAAACGCGTTACAAGAGCCTGGTTATTAGTGAGTAGTGACCGTCCCAGCACGCTACGTAAGATTTAAATAACACAAACACAACACCCCAAACAGTTCCCCAACCCTTTCTCTAAAGCCGGTCATACATCTGACGAAAGTTTCCATTCGTTCGCATTGCCAGCAATCGCAGCCGCTCGCAGCTTTGCTCGAAACGGGAGCGAACGTTTCTAGGGGCTTCCCACATATACGAAAAGTTTCTAGCGTTTGCAGTACACAGAAAAAAATCTTAGTTAGATTATCTAACATAGTACCAAGAACAGCGCTGTCATTGAATGCATTAAAATTGAAACAATCTAAATTGTTATTTGCTCAATTAATTACTATTAAACCAAAATAGGGAAATATTTTGCCTAAATGTCAAAAAATTTATTGCGTAAAATGTATTCATAGTATACATACAATAGTAAAGTTATTAAATAAATCAAATTAGTATTTAATGCAATAACATTCTACCATTCTAACAAATAAATATCAATAAGAATATCAAGAGATTTAGGAGCGATAACTTTTGTTGTTAATTTAAAAACAGTAAACGATTATAAACCAAGTGCTAACTACCTATTGGTATTATAGGAACTGTTATTCAGGAATACGGATTACAAGATCCCATTGGTTTAATGGCTCACCCATTCATGCTATGCTAGAGCTGTGTAGTTCGCAGTCTTTCCATGCATTCGTCAGTGAGTACACACCGTTTCGAAATGTCCAGTAAACAAGTAGGTATATGGTTTATTTATAAATATATATATATATATATATATTTATATATATATATATATATATATAAAAAATTAAAATTATTACAAAACATTGGCAAAGCGTGGAATTTTTGGATGGGTAGACAAATATACGGTTAGATAACTGATAATATAAGTAGGTATGCTATCGATAATTATTATTAGTATTATTACCGATAATTAAGCTACCGATATACTACATATACACGACAACAGTGACTGTCAACAACTGATTAAAGCAAGAATTTTTGCTTGTATTAATTCTTCTTGCCTACATATAAACGTTCGCATTCGTTCGCAGGTATACCTGCGAAAATGGGTAGCAATGCGAAAATGGGTAGCAATGCGAACGAAAGCGCTCCATCGGTTGTCGGTTTATTTAAAAAGCATTGCTACCCATTTTCTTCGCCTCCGCTCGCTGCGAATCCTCTCCTACACCTGACAAAAATTCGTCGGCAACGCGAACGAATGCAAACTTTCGTCAGATGTATGACCGGCTTAAGACATACAATTTAAGGGGTGGGAGGCCCTGTAAGGAAACTATTTCCCGGGCCCCAAAATCATTCCAGCACGCGCCTGATCATCTACAGCTGGTTTATTACAATTATTTTAATAATGAAATTTCATAAATACCTTAAAACAGGGCAAAATTTATGCTTAGCAGTGACTGCTATCTAATATAACTAGTAGTTATTAACTACAGATTAATTTCATCTGAAATAAATTTATATCCTCGGCATAAAAACAGAAGCGAATTTGCTTTCGGCACGCGCCTAAAGAGCGGCATGCTTTGAGCGCGCCACGCCTTTGTCTTTTGTCGGATTTACAATGCGTTATTACAAATAAGCCGCATTATTGGGTCGTTTTCAAAAAACACCCGCCTTTCGCTATCCGTAAGTTTGAATTCCAATAACTTTGTTAAAAATTATCGGATCTTATTGATTTAACAACCAAGTGAAAGCCTAACAAGCCCTTAGTAAACTCTTTCAGAAAATGTTTTGTTTAGTTATTTCAAAATATATTTTTTTTAATTTTGAAACTTGTGACACAAACTTTTTCGAATGTCCCATTAGCATTTTATAAAACTTACATACATGTTTTTTTCTTAAATATTGAATAACCAGAACTTTGTGTTGCTTTATAGCAATCCATAACATCCTTAGTTAATACAGTAAACAATTTATATAATATATAAAATTAATTATTTTATATTATAAAATAATTAATTTTAATATAATTTTTTTAAATTTGACTCATGTCCAAGACATTTTTTCCTTCGCGTTACCGATAGAATATTAAAAAAACATATATGTCAACTTTTTTGGCACTCACGTGATCCACAAATGACGTACACATTAACCAGCTGAATTTATTTACTCAATCAGGAAAAAGAAATCGGTTGAAACAGGTGCGAGTAACGCGAATGTAATAATTGTTTGTCCGCTCAAAAAAATAATAAAAATAAGGTAAGAAAAAATACTATTTTTCATGATTATGTTTATTTTAAGGCACCAAAGCTCATTGAGAGTAATTAATGACTGTAATGTCTTATTATTATTTTTTAAATATGGTTTCACAAAACTTTTTCTACTGCGTTACCAGTCCATTATGTTACCTTATGATAACGCAATGGAATTTAGGGTAACGCAATAGAATTTTTCGACAACAAAGTGAATATTTACCGTCGCTTTTATTAAAAGTAGTTTATGATAAACCAATTTAAAATTATTTGTGATTACAACTCATGATATAGATTACATCCAAGGGAAAATTCCACGCAATATACAAGTACTAAAAGGAACCTTCACCAGCTTATAGTCAAAGAAAAAAACGTGTCTACAATTTAGAAAGTTGTTATTCTGCAAGTGAGCACCACTACAAGGGATTTTGTTTATAAATGCATTACTCTAAAATCGTACCACCCTTTATAGTTTCTTTTTTACGTTATCTGATTAAGCCCTTTGAGTACCCCAGTCCGTTGTGATACCAATGTCTATTTCGTTACTTTTTTTTTGTTAAAAAAATACTTTAAATGATTTTTATACACTATCACTTGGTAATAGGTTTATAAATTCACTAATACAGTGAAGAAAATATTAATGGTATTATTTTTTTAACAAAGAATCAGAATGGTTTCTTTTAAAACGTAACGTAAAATAAAAAATTGGAGTCAAAAGTTTGTGACCTAAGTACATTTTATTTCAAATTATTTTTATAACAACTTTTTTTATTGAATTAAATTTTGGATTTCAAATTGGTAACACAGTGGAGATATATAAAGCTAGCTAAACACATTTTTCTGAAAAAAAAAACGTAAAAAAAATTAAAAAGTGCACTGCCTGTCTTAATGTAAGTAAACAAAACTCTAAACATTTATAAAAATCCAACTAAAAGTCAATTTAAGCAAAAAAAAAAATTTTGATCTTCATTTTCCTGAAAGCGGGTGTTTCTTGAAAATGACCCTATTATAAAATAATAAAAACAGAAGAATATTTGCTACTCTACCGTACTCATAATTGTTAATTGTTTATTTAATTTATTTTTGGTAGAAATAAACCATTTGGTAAATTTTTTTATTTTTTTAAGTAATTTTGCGCTAGAATATCGTTTATTTCATTGTATCAAGTTAATTTGACAAGAAAAAAGTCATTTTTTCTAAAATTAAGTATTTTCGCGAAAGAAAAAAATTAATTTTATTCTCCATCGAAAATTGAACCTGGCCTGCTGCGTGGGAGGCCGATAACCCAAACACCCGACCAATCCGTGTCTAACAATTTATAAGCAAATTAAATAATTAACGTAAAGAACGTACTTGGAAATTGTAATTGGAAATTGGATAATAATGAATGTTTATTGTTTTTAACAATTAAAATGATCTTTTGTCCTTTATTACTCTTATTTTTCACACTTTTATTGCAGCAGGGCTTTCAAAAACGAAAAAATATTGACTCGTGCCATTTTCACCAAATTATTTGCCATCAAGAAATCATTTTTTCAAGTTATATACTTTGTGTTGCTAAAATTACGTTTTCCTCCTCGAAATGGGAACAATTGTTTTAAACCTTAAATAACGTTCTAATTGACGGAATAGAACTGACGTAGAGAATTGCCCACTAAAGACCAGCTTATCATGTCAATTTTCTCTTGCAATGTGTAGGACATTATAACTTAAAATTTTAAATAAAAGAAATTAATTTATGTTAAAACGCTCGAAATAAACACTAGCAAATGCAAAACAAAACTGAATCCTCGCCTACGCCGGCAATCCGCTTACAATGCACCTGTGGAGGGGCGATCGGATTCACTCGGGTTCACTCGTATAGCTCTCTTTCTCCTTCTCTCTACGTTATATCTTTTCTCTCTCTCGTGTAACGAAATCTTGGAACGTTACATTTTTTCCAATTCACTCTCCATTCTCGTCAAATATCAGAACGCCACCAAAGAGGTTTCACTTCAAAAATTGTTTTTTAATGTTTTTTTTTAAGGGAAATATTTAAAAATTAAATAGCAACGGCTTAAAATAAAGACTAAGAGCATTGTAATAGCTCAAAAATTTTGTTTTCTGACCAGTTACAAGATTTTCAGGTGGGACTTTGAAAAAAAAAAGTCGCTCTAAAATGAAGCACCCTAATAACTTTCTAAATAAAAACAATCAGAATGTTCAAGTGGTGATTAATTGTTTATTTTATGTTTTCTTTAACCGCGTAGCTCCAATAAGAATATTATTATCGAGGAACAACATGGTTTTTGTAAGGGAAGATCTACAGCTACTAACCTAATGGTCTATCAACAGGCTTTGTTGAGTGCCTTGGAAAGTCACACTTA